TCTGCCCTGAAATCAGAAACTGCTGTAACCACTGCCTTAAGAAATGAAAATATATTATCCACCAAAGTTCCCTCATAAACAGACCCTGAACTCTTCCTTTCTATATAATGATCAACACGAAAAAAAGAAGTCTTGAGACCTGAAGAAAAGAGACAAATTGAACAATAAATTGTGGACACTGTATAAATATTAGTTCCAGAGAAAGTACGCATGAAGAACAAAATAATGGGCAAGTGAGTAAGTCTTATACGTCCAGTAAAAAGTATTTCAGTGCAGAAATAGTCAACATATGAAGTGCAGAAGTAGTCAACATATTACATCATCAGCCTTCCATGCAGAAAGCCAACTCTATCCTCAGTATGATTTCCAACCTTCATTCTTTATCACGTGCCATGCTCAGGTATTACACTATCTAATACATCCTCCTTAGCCACCATCACCTTTCCAGGCACACTCAGAGATGTCATTCCCTCTCTCTATTAGTCATCCCCACCAAAAATACGGAACAACATGGTTAGAACAACCAGTTGTCACCCACAACTGATATAATCTGAAGTCCATTGTCTCTACATTCTTCAGGCAAGAAGATCCAAACCTTTGGAGGCCTGAGCTTGTGCCCAGGCAGGAGCATTCACCATTTGGACACATGACACAGGAGGTGAATGCACAYGATTGGGGTAGCACACACCTGGATGCTGACTGCAGAACAGCTGATACATCACAGGATAGGGGAAAGCTGCACCGTACCATCTTTCACAAATGCCAACATAATCTGCCCATCTCTTCCCAGGTACTAGTCCAAACTGAAGATTTTAGTGCATCATCTGGAGGTGGTTGATTTTATCACCACAGATRTGCCAAATCAAACCCTTTTGCTTTGCCTTAGTCAACTTAGTTTTTGTGAATACTATCTTTATTTTTCTTATTGTCAGAAAAGGAATCACAGTACACTGAAACCACTGACATTCACATACTGAAAAATCTGAGTACTTACACTGGAAATTTCCTATGCTTCTATACCACAATGACTGTAAAATTTGGGCTCTGTAAACATGTAATTCAATTTACATGCCAAAGAAATTTCACACGATRTACCTGACTAGTTTATTTTTTATATGTTTTTAGAAATGTACATGGTCAAACTCCAGCACAAAGAAAAAATACTTACTTAGAATTTCAAGTCAAATCATATCCAGGTGAAAGTAAGAAAAATAGAACAAACTAATTTTTGCACAAGGTTTTGCAGGGCTGGCTACCAAAATACTAAGCAGTTACAATAAAATCAGGYTTGATTCACTGAATATCCCTTACTTTTACAGTAATTTTCTTTTCTAGAGCAAAATACAGCTTTTTGAATGTGCAAACTCTTCCCTATCCAGAGAAAGTGCAACACAACTTGCTATGGCTTCTTTTTCATAATGGAAAGTACAGTACGGAGCTGGCAAAAAACAGTCAGTAAACTGCAATTGGTTATGAAATACTTTAGTAGCTGTGCAACAGAAAACTTTACTCAATTTTTGAGCATTACATCCACAACCAGAAATGTTTAAGGCAACGGTGTGAGTGGAAGCTTCATCCTGGAGCTAAACAGACAAACAGTTAAACGTGTCTGGTGCACTAACAGCAAGCAAACGCACATGGAAATTCTTGCAGCTCCTCTAAAAATAATCCAAAGTAGTARTTAGAGCAGATCTTTATTTATGCTTTCTAAAAAATATCCAAGCTGAGCAAATGTGTACTATTTCAGGTATCGGCTACATCGGTGCTCATAATTATGCTGAAGGATCTTCCCTTTATGTTTCTATTCTATAAATCTCTACAGAATTAATGGGATTTGCTATATAAAAGGGAATAAGATGGCTGATGATTTTTGGTAAAATTTGAGAGTCACGTAAGAAGACAAGGAAGTAACAAATTGAGGGAAGCAGAAACAAATTTTAAACACTATGCAGAACCAGTTTCTGTTCCAAACTGTCAGCAACAGTTGTGGGCTCCCTCTTCTCTGTACTTTGTAAACTAAAATCTAATCAACAGATTCCTTTGTGAGGAAAAGGGACAGCAAGAGCAGTTGCATCAGTGTTTGCTGGTTTTACTTACTACAATAGGAATGTACTGTAGGGAACAATCCAGTATTTGCAGGGCAATGGACTGGATGATCTAATACAACTTTTCCATTTCTGACTTCTTAGAACAGCTCAGGCTGATCCAAGTTCTCAAGGAGATTTTTGTCCAACGATACTGAATGAAGAGAACTCCAAGACAAGGTTTGTGGTTTTTCTTCCTTTTTTCTTTTCAGTATTAAGAGAGCCAGAACAGCAAACACATGCTATAGTACACAACCATGAAAAAAACAATGTAGTAATTAAATACCCATAAAATTTAGAATATCTGTAGAAAAAGTAGAAAATTTCTTTTATACTTAAGTCTTTCAATAATTTTGGAGCATTTATTCCATTTTATAACTTAGGAAAAAAAGCTTTGATAATATCTGAAATTATTAAACAGTAAGGTAAGATCAGTGTAGAAATTTTTATTAAGCAATGTGTTAAAACAGAGAAATATTGTTAATTATTAGTATACCCATGCTCATTTTCTTCCTAAATAGCCACATAAGAAGATTGCAACATCCTTGGGTCAAAGCCAGTGCACATTTTTTCCTTCCTTTTTCTTTTTTTTATTACAAAATACGCATCTTCATTCTCTGTCTATGGAATTAAAAACATTGGTCTTTGCAAGTACAGTTGACTTTAAGAAGTTATTGCTAGGAAAAGYAGTCTTACAAATAAGACACCAGAACTCAAAAAGAGAGATTTGGTACTCCCAAAGTCTTGAAACATGGAAAAATGATGGCAGATGGAGTTCTTCTGCTCTTACAGGTCTCTTCCAAAGAGGCTATGGATTGTCTTCTTTAAAACTTGACAGGATACATAACAAACCTTCTAAAATGCTTTAAAGGTTAAACAAATACCATGAGTTGCACATACAGTTATGCCCATCTTGAGGGAGGTGTAYGAACTAGATAACATTTTGAAAGCTCTTAATACCCTACTTTATACAACTGAACTCCACAGAAATCAAAGGTGATGTTTGACAGCCTATGACATTCACTGGATCAGACCAGATATTCTTAATAGTGTCAATTCTTGTAAAAAACTTTGTCTCTCAAATGAAATTTAAATATTGTATTAAAGAAGGGCAACTAGTGAACACTAAAGATGGTGCATCAAGATTTCAAGAATGAAATCTATTTTAAGATAGTGTGAGGCTTAATAGGACATTAAAAGAAGCAGCCACAGGGTCAGTTCCATGTACATTTAATATTTGGACCCACAGAGCACAAGATAAATAATGAAGATGGTTGGAATATTTCAGTGCCTTCTTGTTGTAATTGCAATAAAGTGACCACTCACTGATCCCCTTTCTCATCTTTTTTTACTGTTAAAGTCAGAAAGTCCAATCCACCCTACAATAACAAACAACATGGTAACCAGGGCACACAACCAGGAGACACGTTAGGAACGCCAACTCCTCCAAAYGGAGAGCATACTCCAAGTGAGTAAACCAGTTACTACTGTCTTCTTTCGGAATAAAGGGCAAAAAGCAATAAGCGAAGAAATTTGAAAGGTTTTAGGTTTTACCTCAATGGAAAATTAGAGCAAATGTTGAAGTGTCAATGTTTCACAGATCCACACTCATTTTCTAGCCAGGCTTCTTTAATTCCCAAACCAGAAAGAAAACTAATTTAGCAACTGACCTAACATTTTGCTTAGATACACACCAGTGTCTGCCATATCAGAAAGATGACTGGTATTSCTCTTACAGTGATCCTCTGAGCCACCCGCACAGACAGCTGCAGCGAAGCCACCAGGAATCTGGGAACCACGGCACTTCAGAAACTTTAATGAAATTCTTTAGACAAGCAAGTATTGCCAAGCACTCTTCCACTGTTTGTTGCTTTTGTGTATCAACTGCCAGAGAGCACTTATATTCACTTTTATATGTAAATATTCTGATTTTTTGAAAAGTATCACTAAGCATTGACCAAGTATCAACATTATTACATCTTTTTCCAGAGCAAAATAGCTGACAGAAAGGTGAAAATGTGATTCTTTCAAACCTACTTAGAAATAATCCAAATTTTAAGCTTCCTCTAGATCAGTAATTGACAAGGGTAACAAATTCTGTACAAGGCTCCATATATTCACGGCATGGGTTACTACWATCTACTGACTCATTTGACACTTCAGAATTTCTTTCAGGCTTGAATTACCTCTGTACTGGGGATGGAAGACATACTTACCATTTTGCAGAAGTGGAGTATTTTCAACCAGCTGATTGGTCCCATTTTTTTGCTGTAGGTAATTTTAAGACTATTGGGGTAGCTCTGATTACTGCCATGGCATGCTTTGATTTCTTGTTGATCATTTTTGTAGTACAATACTTTACTCAAGTATTCGTCCAACTTATTTTAGGCTGTACTTTAGTCCAGCATATTTATGAGCAAAACACAATATTAAATGGAGACAAGCCAATAAAAGAAACAGCTTACTAGAATTTCAGTTGACTTTGTTAAAGGAAATTATTTTAAATTAATGTGGCTACTGAACTCTTGCCATACTTGACCTCAGAAAATATATTCCTTCTAATTTYTGCTGTGAACATTTATTTATTTAAGCTAAACTCCAGGTCTTGAATGTTGACCATAAAGAAGTGTCAGATTTCCTGCTACTATTTTGTACTCTTTTTTTTTCTAAACAAGGGCAAACAACATATGTTTGTTGCATTAGCATTACACTGCCAAAACATCACTCTTAAATGAAATCATCTATGTATTTTTGGTAAAACCTTATTTAACAACTTCCACCCTGACAGAAACAGAGTTAAAACAAGGCTGTTTTGTTTTCACTGAGCAACAGTTTGGTCACTGGTTTACTAGATGGCGCACAAAACATTTTTCCATATGCTCTTCTCAAAGAGAATCTGACTTAAATGTGGTTTACCTTCACCAGTGAATGAAGGCTTTTTTCACCAAACATATCCCAGAGGAAGGTCAGGTCTTCCTGGTTGTCCACATGTGGCTGCAGCTGGGCTGGCAATGCAGCCAGCAGCTCATACAGACCTATAAAATGAAAATAAAACACGAAGTGTAATCTAGGGTGATCTCATTAATTTCACTTAACAGTTCTGCGTAATTGGCTGCCTGGAGCATGTCATTTTAACTGAACAGGGAGTCTGGAGTATCCAGCATAACATTAACTTGTAGAACCAAAAGGAACATTTAGAAAAACTTATTAAGAAACAARTATTAGCAGTGTACTTTTTACCTTGTCACAGTTGTCAAGCTTCTACATCCCTATATATTTACACAAGGTTATGCAGAAAATTCGTACAGGTTTTGAAAAAAAGACAAACCCAGAAAAAAACATACATTCCTTTGCTTAATCGTTATTCCATTTCCCTTGATGTTAGCCAAAGAGTGAAATGAGTCATGAATAGGAAAAACTTCCTTAAAAGAACAGAAACTGGATAGGGTGGTCCATTAAAAAATGGTTCGTGGTTTCTCTAAATATTTCTTGCTAATATATTGCCTAACATTTTTTTCAATCCCGTGTTCAGCAAGTATCCACAGCAATACAAAAGCAACTTCTCTGTTTTGTAGGACTGAACTTTTAAAAACAAAGCCAACACAGTTTTCCCAGACACACATGCACACAGAAATATTTCAGTAACRTTTTTAATTTGCAGGTATTTGAGATTCTCTGTAGGGTTAAAGCAATTTCTGTTCGCAGTTATTTGTGGCACACCTCAGCAGCGGTCTCCGAGGGGCAGACAGTAGCACWCTGTTCCACAGTAGCGTACAGCATAAAATATCCATCGTGCACACAGGCCATCAAAGTGCTGTCCAAGAAATGCAGCAACAGTGTTTGCAGCAGTCCTCTTTAGGGAGGTAACCTGGCATGAGYTGATATCAATTCATAGCACATGTTTAATTTTCCAGTGGGATTACTTGGGGTAAAAAGGACAAAATGCCTTTTTCTCCCGTCTGCTGTCTACAAAAACACCAATAGTCTCCTGGGATCCAAGATAGACGGTCCTGTTATTATTTTTAGTCTGGGTAAGTGCTGCTGTTCATCACAAGAACAGATTTACAACATATTCTACTGGTAAAAGAATATTGTTGTAAATTATAGGTTACCTATTCTAATTATGTGTATTATCTCCCTAAAACTTATGCTTTAGAATATTTGTTAGTAAGCATTTCACCTTTCCAGGCACTACATATCCCTTTCAACATTACATACAGCACCTTTGGGTTCTGATTATTTACGTTTTCATCTTTTTASTGCCACTCAGTAAAATATTCTGGAAAAAAAGTTCTTTCCAGATACATTCTTTCTGTGCACCAAGCATTATTTGGTGGTTCACATTCATTTCTCTTAAGAGTCCTGCTTTTATTTAAATCTGTTGTTTCCACTTCAGAAATACTGCAAAAGAAGATACAACTCAAACCACTACAACTTTGCAGACAGAAAAGACTATCAAGCTTTGCCTAGTGAGATATAATCAGTAATTGAGCTGACACCCAGAGAAAAGAGGTCTGAATAGGACTTGTGGCTTCAACTTGCCAGACTGTTAGAACTTCAGAACTTAGCAAAACCGGTTATTTTTATCATATAATTTATGAAAACATTTTCATTTAGGAAATTTAAAAATTTCTTTTATTTTCTTTTAGAAAATTAAAACAAATCTTTGTTTATTTTCTTTAATTTAGAAAATTTTAAAAATTCTTTATACTTGGCCACTTTTGTTACTSTAAAAATATTTACCTCAAAAAAACCTGAACGTTGTCAGAAAATGGAACAGAAATTTTCAATGTAAGCTTGCACTGTGGCATAACTGCTTAGGAACAATTCATGTGTGTCATTCAAGAGAAAGAGTAACTTCAGCTACTTCCTTCAAATAAAAGACATGCAACATAGTAAGCTTTCTTTTCCTTGATCCATCAGATCTGCTTAAAAAAAACACATGTAATCAACTATAAAACTATTTTATCCTTGTAGCCTGCTCCTCAAAGCTTTGATAATCAAATCCCTAGTGAAATATAAAACGAAAGTTTGTATTTCCTGATGGAGTAACTACTAGTGACACAGCGGGAGACTGAATCTGCCCATAATAAAACTTACATTTTACACACAAAATTTCCTGAGAAAAACTCCACCTGCCTGTACTCCAGGAGTGCCAAACCCTGCAGTGCTTGCACGCATGAAGGTTTCCACATCCAGTTCAAAAACTTCTGTAGACTTTACTTATTTATATAGCCCTGAATTGCCCCTTCCAGGACAACGGGTGTCCATGTCCCTAGTGCCCTACTCCAGCTTCAACAGCAATGCACCCAATCTGTGCAATGCTCCTGGGGAAGTGGAGACAATTACWCAGGTGCTGACCGATTTTATCCAGTATCATAACCATGTTTCTAGCTCTTCCCTGCTTTGGCTCTACGGTCCAGTGTTTATAGCTTTCAGCCAGAAGGAAATGAGAATCCGGCCCTCCTCCACAGCAGTGGAAACTGAGGACTGTGCCATGCAGCATGCTGGAGAACATCAGGCTCTTGCTCTTTGGACTCCTCCTGAAACTGAACGCTATACAGCCAGGAATTTAAAAAACGACTCAATCAAAGGGCCAAGCAAAAATCAGGCAGAAGGAGGACTTAGTGTATTAACCTGGGGAGAACAAAAGACAAAGATCTAGAAGATGTCTAATGTTAAATTTGTGTAATTCCAGATCACCTGACTCAGCTACAGAAGGTAATGGCAGAAGAAGGTGGTAGCATCTGAAAAGGTTTATCTTTTTTCTTGTTTCTTCTTGTTCCTTCGGTGGCGCATAGCACCACAGAATAAAAAAATTTCAGATGGGCATTTTAATTTTTATATATTAAGAAATACAGTACATGGATCTTGTACACACACCTCCAAGTAAAACATGATTTTTGCTTGTCTCTAAATTACAGGAAGTGTATTGTTGTTATTCACTGCACTGTGAAGAAGCAGTGAAAATTGTGTTTGGCATGTGACTTTACTAGCAAGTGGCATATAAAAGGAAGTGCTTTTGTGACATGGACAAGGACAAAATAATTTGTCAAATTACTGTAAACTGGTAATAAAGTTGACACCACTACACTGGCACCTACACATTAGCCTAACTTTAATTATCAAATCTGACAAATTGTCACATACATCTTTCCCACATGTGAAGGGCAGCAGCTAAAATCCCTGCAGCCCTTTAATATCTCACTGTACCGAGGTGCTGTCACACAGCAATACAAATAATCTGAATTTCACAGCAGAGTGCTTCAGGTCAACTTCAAACCTACTCCAAAACTTCTAAGCAGTATCTGGGGTGGTTCTAGAAGTCAGAGCCAAAGGCCATGAGAACAAATGCAAGTTCATCACTGGTTTTAGTACTGCCAGGCTGTTAAAACCACATTTTTAAAAATTGTTTCAGTTGCAATTATGTAGTCTGAAGTGATGCCAYACTGAGCACTTTTGATTACTTCTAAAATGAAAAATTAACTTTCCAAAAGGTCATAGGGATACCTCTTAAAATACAGATTGTTTTACACATTACGGATGCATAATTATCATGTAAGTCCCAGAACAGGACGTATCAGCATCTCCGAGCAGAATGCTACCACTGCCTGCCAGGCCTTGATTGTGCTTTTCATCTGGATTTTGATGTTTCTCTTGAAGTCCCCAAGACTTGACCCTTCTTGGGTCACATGATGTGAATGGATCTCACATTTTTTTGAAAGATGTCCACAATGTAAATAACACAACCAAGAGCTTTTTAAAAACTGTATTAAGAATTTGTTTAAATTAAAAAAAAATTCTGTTGTCTTTCATGCCTAATGTTGGCAGTACTCTGTAGTGTCTTTAAAAAAAAAGAAATTGCTTTTATTGTACACTGTTGCTATTCTACTTAGGTTCTTGATTTTTTTTCAGTCGAGCTTGCTTTAGTTTAACCAGCATTCGTATTTAAAAGGAATCATGCACCCACTGGAATTCACTAGCATCAAAATAATTCCAGTATCAGAATYCAGTAAAGTTAACATGACTTACACAAGAAAAACTAATTTATTTTGATTTTTAAAATTAGATCATTTATTCAAGGTCTCAGAAGACCTGAGCATACATAAAAAAACKTAACAATCCAATTAAACATGGAGATGCAAAACTATTATGCAATTTTAAGGATTAAGTTTGGTCATTCCTACAGCTCCCGGGAGGGCAAGGAACCCCAAGCCTCATCTCAACGTAATCACACCTGAACATTCCCAAATCAGTGAAAYAGGTGGTAGCCCTTGCTACGTTAAACAAGGTCACATAATCAAGTGGCAGTAACAGGAGTCAGTTCTAGATAAATGAGGAAGCTCCTGTTTTAGATACCAGYGTGCTGCTATTTATATTCAAATAATACAAATTAGCAGAGTATCTAACACTTCCATGAACTCAGTAAAACCCAACAGCATCAMACTCCTACTAAAAGGAGACAAGCATTGCACATGGGAATATAATTATAAACTGTTGTAAGAGTGGAAGGGGGAGGGGGTTGTTTGAAGGTGCTTGCAGAGCCTACTAAACCTGATTACCTGATTCAAGAATAAAGAAACTTAAAACTAACAAATTTAYACTGGACAAACAATGAATTTTTCATGACATTTAGTTAATTCAAGAACAATGACATAGGGAATTAAAATCCATTCACTAGATAGCCTTGCCTACAGAAATAGTCCATATAAACTATACACATGTAAAAATAATCTAAACCCACATACAAAATCTAAAACTAAAATTTAAAACACTTTGTCATGGACAGAGAAACTACTCTGAAATTTTTGGACTTGTTGCAAGAACAAGACAAAATGGCTGCAGAATAAGGCTTGTAGCATTCTGCCAGCTTGAACTAAGGTAATTTCAAGGGAAAATCCAGCAATGTTTGAAAACACAGCACCGTCCCTGCTTGAAAGACAAATTTCAACTTTTTCTTTCAACACACCTAAACAGTTTCTGTCTTCAGAGCATCTTCAGCTTTTTCTTAAGTAATTAAGTAATACAGTTTCAT